AAGTGTTGAAATTAAAATAGAACAAATTGGCAACTATGGAGACGAACTTGTGTGTTTAAATTATTATATTTTGATTGTTGAATTAAATAACCATTTGGTCTCTATTTTGGCTATTTGTTTCCCAACTATCTTGTTTTCTTGTTTTTTTATTTTATGTTTTTTTAACGTTATCTACTTTTTAAAACCCACATTTAAAATACTAAATAAATTAGTTTTATAAGCTTGGTTTTTCCCTAAGAATTCATATTTAGTTCACAAAAATGGTAAAAAAAAAAAAAAAAAACATTCAAGAACCGACTTGACTTAGCTTTTAACATTATCGTACTTGTAGTTAATTAACTATAGAAGGTGTAATTTTAAATATAAACACGTTTTCTTAGTACACTAATATGAAAAGAAGTGTGATATCTCAAGGAAGGAGAACTAAACACACTAAGGAAACATTTTTCTTTCTACCAGACGCATTTTTAAGCTTAAAGTCTTGAAGGTAAGCCTAAAAGAAAAATCTCAAAGAAGACAATATAGCTAGCAGTGGATATAGGCCGTTACAAGAAAATTCAAACATTTAATATTTTATGTTAATTAAGTTGTACGAATAAAGAGGTAATGAATATTTAATTTGTAAATGTGTTTATGTTAAAGCAAAGGGATTGAGAGGTCCGCTGTGAAGAGAGGAGAATCATAGAAGCATCCGCCAAACAAGGCCTTCGTTATCATCCAATTCTTTGAAAGAACCCTTCTTATTTTATAAATACCTCTCTTTTTCACCTTCCATTGCATTCATCTCATCTCATTACCGACATGTCGTCCCTTGCTTCGTCTCCTCTTCTCGCGACGCTTGCCTCGACGACATCGACAAGTAGCTGCACTGCTTGGCATTTGCGCAATAGTCTGTTTGCCAGAGTGAGTCTTCTCTGGTCAAGTTATTACAAGTTGTTTTTCTTTTAAGGAATTTTCAGTTTCATTCCAAAATTGGTCATTTAGGTAAGTTTGTTTTGTGAGCAGAGGGTGTTTCCCAGCATCCAAATGGCAAAGCCTGCGAGAGGAGGACTATACCAACTTCCAACCTACTTCAAATCAAACATTTCCTGCTCCCTTGTACCTTCCTTACACTCTTTACTTTATTTTCCTATGCTAAATTATATCCAGTCGTTCCAAAAAAAAATTCTAAAACAATAGATTCAATGCAAAATATGTTAAGAACTACAACTCTAAACCTAAGCAATGACGTGATATTGTCCACTTTAGGTATAAGCTTTGTGGCTTTACTTTTGGTTTCCACAAAATACCTCAACCCTTTAATTAGCCAGTGTGGGATTCCTCTCTCAGTAATCGTCAACAATCCTCCCTCGAACAAAATACACCATAGAGCCTCCCTGAGACCTATGGAACCTTCAAATAGTCTCTCCTTAATCGAGGCTTGACTCCTACGGAACTCTCGAACAAAGTACACCCTTTGTTCGACACTTGAGTCACCTTTTGACTATACCTTAAAGGCTCACAACTTCTTTGTTGACATTTAAGAATTCTATTGACATATTTAAATTATGGACACGACTCTTATACCATGTTAGAAAGCACAAACCACCACATTAGTATGATATTGTCCACTTTCAACATAAAATTCGTCCCTTTGCTTTTGGTTTCCCAAAAGACCTCGTACCAATGAAATATTTCTTACTTATAAACTCATGATCAACCTCTTAATTAGTCGATGTAAAACTCCTCTTCCAACAATCCTCGACAAAATAGACCTTTTATTTTCAAAATTATCACTTTCTAGGTTGTTGTACAGAAATGCATTTCAAATATATCTTATAATTATTAAAAAAGATATCAGCAAATAAGCTTTTTCTATAAAAAATAAAAAAAGACCACACGAAAAAGTAACCAAAACTTCCTTATTGATGAGATATAAAATTGTGTATTAACTGTTACCATAATTATTGGACACATAATAGAAGAAAAATAATTCAATTTCATAAGCAAAAAAAGGAAGATAAATTTGTTTGAAAATTTTTAAACAAGAAAAAACAAGTGGAAGACAGCTAAAAGAAACGGTTGAATTTAAGTAGTGAAAATTGAGATGGGTGTGTAAAAATGGGCAGGCACAACCAGAGACAATGCAAGTTGTTCAAGAAATAATCGCCAAGCAACTCTCTCTGGAACTAAGCGCAGTGATCCCTCAAACAAAATTTTCTGAATTGGGAGCTGATTCTCTCGACACCGTGAGTCAACTCAAAATTTTAAACCAACAGCTAACAATCAAAAGCTAAGAAAAACTATAATTCATAACTCACATTAAAGGAATACTTACAGGTTGAGATCATGATGGGTTTGGAAGAGAAGTTCGGAGTGTCCATTGGAGAAGGCGGAGCCGAGGGCATCTCGACGGTTCAAGACGCTGCCGATCTGATTGAGAAAGTCAAGACATCCTCTGCAAGTTAAACCAAGCTGCAACATATCCCAGTAATTTTGCATTTGAGTTTGTTATGTTTTGTTCATCAGTAATTCATCTGAGCTGTTTGTGGTTCAAAACTGATTCAAAGTGACATGAAAACCAAAGAAAGAAGAGTTTTAATCCAAATGCAATGATATTATATGTTATACACACATAATTCACAAATGTATTGTTATAAATTATTAAGAACAAACAGAACCAAGAAATCCGTGCTCCCTTTCTGGGCAGAATATTTAACGCCAAGGGGTGGATTGAATATCTGTAGCTGGATCAGTTGCCATTATATACAAAGATATAAATAAATAAATACACTCAGATACATACATTTATAAGTTATATAAAATTATTTGGATGCTTCCCCTTCAATAATCGATGTCATAAGACTGTGTTAATCGAGATCCTGCATCATATGCAAAGGCTAAACATTAATCTTATATGTCGTCTCCATTAGAATTCACAAATAAATAGAGCACTTTTGATGCCTCTATCAACAACCTTGACTCTACAATTCCTTTTGAAAACTACAGAATCTCAATGAAACAGATTTTATTATTTGTATTCCTTACAGAGAACCAGAAGGATCGTTCACTTAGTAACTCAAGGATTTTCACATTACAATTTCCTCTCATTAGATTATGAACTAATATATTTCATACTGTATGATTCAAAAAGCATGTGTTCAAAGAGGAATGCATCGATTGAAACCTTGTCCTATTAAGTCTTACTTCGATCAAGATGAAGAAATGATGCATGCAAATCCGTGAATAGTAGATATGCAAATTGTTTGTCTGTGAACGAGAGATCGGTGAATGAAAAAACTAAAAGTAACTCATTACTTCTAACCGTCTTGTTCCAATGATACAGCCGACGATTTTCTCCATGCAAGTCTCTTCGGATTACCTTCTGGCGTCCCAGCTGCACGGAAGAGGAGAAACAAAATTACACATACTACAAACAGGTCCAATGTCCGAATAAATTACACATATTACGCATGTAGTTTCCGTGTGCAATATATAAAAATCTCTGAATACAAATATATCCAATTAAACGATGGATCTAATCGATCCGAAAACTGAAAAGCTCACGAGTAGGAGGAGTCTGCGGAGAGGATTCTCCAGCGAGCAAATCAATCATCCTTCTACTACGATAATCCGAGTTACTCCTGAAATCCGAGTTACTCCTGAGAATGGTGATGCTCCGAGTTACAGGAATATCTTTGGAAATCTTAACCGGAGGCGATTCCGCGGCCGAAAGCGAATCATACTTGCGAAGCTTTCCAAGGCCGGTATCTGGCGTAGGGCCTGCAAGCGTTTCATCCCATAGCTTGTGAAGAAAAGTATTCATGATTTTCTCTGCAGCAAGAGATCAAAACACGAAACCAAACAAATATACGAAATCGAATGTTCTCTGAGAATTTTGTGGATCCAAACTGAAAACAACTGGAAAATGCAGAAATGGAAACAGCTACTGAATGAGATGCGGAAGAGGAAGAAAACCAGAATCGAAAACGTAACGAAGGAGGAAGGATTTTCTAGGGTTCTATCCTGTCCACCACAAGAAGATTTGGGGGAAAAAAAAGGAGGGAAGGTTGGAAGAAGAACGAAGGTCGATCAGGGTCGGGCTTTTATAGGTGTGCTTTATTCAAAAGGGAGATCTTAATTTCTAATTTCTTTTTGAATTTTTTGCTTTTTTTTCTTACTAAATATATATTATAGTTAATAATTAAGTGCTTCCTAAATTTAATCTAACTATTTAATTGTGTTTATCCTTGAATTTGTCCAATTCTAATTATGGACAAAATGTCGTATTTGAGTGTGTTGAACTATTTATAAATAATTAAAAAAATAAAAAAAAATTGATATTTGAATTTTATGAAGTTTTAGTTATTAGTGTACCTGTATTTGGAATAAAATAGGTTTTTTAAAAAAATTAATTATATATAAAAAAAATATTGATAACCAAACATAACCGTGGGTTGAGTTGAGTTGTGAACTCTATTCATGTTTTTCGAATTACTAACCTAATTCATTCAAAATTTTACCGATCGTGAAACACCATGAGCAGATGTTGAGGTTCATAATTCAAAATAATTTTTTATTTATTTGCTTATCGCTAATTGTCAAGGGAAAGAAAGATATTGTTCTCTCTAAGCTTATCGAGTACTACAAATACTGTGATACTTGAGTATGAGAGGGGTATATAAATGAACCGATACCACATTCGAATAAGAGTGATTTTAAGGAGGAGGATAAACCGCTGAAAGGGTTCGTGTTGATCTGTGAGTGAGAATGTTTGCTTAATCTCCCACATCTAAATGTAGTGTGAAAGTTCTCTGTTTATAACCAAATAAATTATTACAAATAAAATATCAAATATGATATATATGGTAAATTATAATTTAGTACTAGATATCCTTTAAGAGCGAAGATATCTTCACTTTTATGAAGCAAGAAGTAGGTAACATAACCATACAGAGGCTTGTGGGCATGTGACACCCGAAAAAAGGAGAGGTACATGAATGAATCGGTACAAAGTATGCTGAATACAAATAGTTTTTACTCTTAAGAAGTGAGAAATAGGTAACATGATCATGTATGAATTTACCCTCCAGCAAAAAGTAACTTAGATTTAACTGGGGAAAATAAAAAAATAATAAAAATAAAAAAGTTAAAAAACTAAATAATAAATATTATTAGTAAATTATCTTCATATATTTCCTCCGCCCACGTTGTAACAATGGCAGCTTCCATTAGATTGGCAGAGAATTCTGGACGACAATCCCAATCCCACTCCCATTGTCGTCTGTTGAATATCCGACAAGTCGTCCCACCACAAATCTCTGTTTTCCACTTTTGTCCTTATTGTCCTACCGTTTCCTCCGCCAATTCCTGCTCTTCCTCCCGTCGCCTCCTCCTCTCTAAATCGTATTCATTTATTTTTTGTCACAATCATTTTTTTTTATATAAATAAAATATTTAAATTCTTAGCCAAATATTGAAAGTATCATAATCTAACCCCCATTGAGAAGCCTTGCACGTGAGCCTCAAAAGAGTTGGTGCTGTTCATGCCAGACAAATTTCGGTTATCACTCGAACTCGAACATTCGGAGTACGAGGATGACGACGACGAAGACGACACATAATTTGCATGTGAGCTTGGCCGGAATCCCTCCACGTCATCGTTTAACATTTCTTGAAACAATTCCTGCAAATTCTCGAAGCTTTCTTCCCCATTTTTCTGTCGTAATAACAATAATAAAAATAGGTATAAGTTTCAGTTCAGAAAATTAACGATGGACTAATTTAGTGAAGGATCATAACATAGGATGGTCAGGCCGGCTTACAACATTGGGGTTAGTTTGGTCCATCATGGAAACCATTTCGGTCAAGAAGTCACCCATACCCTGCAAACCAAGTGAACCAAACAGAGTCTTAACATTTGGAGGAGACCCCACCAATTCCCTGACCAAAATTCAAATAGTATTTTAATTTAATTCAAATATAACCGAGGGAGCACCGTAGTTAAGATGTGGAGAAGCATACCATATCATCCTCGTCATCATCGCCGTCATAAACTCCGACGTCGTACAACATCCGTTTATTCGCGTCCGATAAAACTACACCCCACCGGAGCACAGTGAAACGGAAAATCAAACGTTTAGAAGATTTCAAATAATCATTTAGTGAAATTACCAGAATAGGCTTGCTGAATCGTTTGGAATTTGTTCTTGGCTTCTTCGACTAACTTAGAATTTCCGGCAGCCGAACACCGATCCGGATGCCATTTCTACCACAAAATCGAACAAAAAATTCACAGAAACAGTAATAAAAGATAAATAAAAAATTACAGAGTCGTAATTTAATTACCATAGCCAGTTTCTTATACGCATTCTTAAGCTCCGCTTTGGTGCATTCTTTCTTCAACCCCAAAACGCCGTATAGATCGTCGTTTTTCTCGTTCTTATCAGCCATTCGCTTTGCTTCAAACACTGAGGCAAATAAGCAAGGATTTACAGAAACTCTAGCTTGTAAAACGACGAATCGGAACGATCATCGATGTTGATAAACGAGAACGACATGTCGAATGTGGAGATTGGGAGAAGGTTTGGCGATGCAAGAACACTCTAGAACCACGGCCCTTATATAGTTTTTTAATTTAAAAAAAAATTATATTTTCGGGAAATTAATTATAAAGGCGATGGAAAAATGTGTCTTGGAGATGAACGGCTGAGATTGAATTTGAGAGAGATATTTTCTTATGATCTCTAGAGACCAGAAGCTTCTATTAATTAATTAATTATTTATTTATTTATTATGGCTTGAGAATCAGTTGTGGGTCCCACTTGCTTATTTACCGGATAAGATACGGAACCATATAACTTTATGGGTTAAAAAATGAACCATAAATTAATAAATAATTAGTATTTACTTTGTAATTAAATGTTGAAATTCCCAACCAGGAAGCCAGGGGCCACGTCCAAGCACCTTTTTGGGAATCCGTCCACGTGTCTATTTCTAAATTTTATAAATTAAATATTATTTATTTTAAAAAATTAACTCTATTTTTTTTTTTCACAATTCTCGTGGTTTAGTCATTTTTTTTAAACAAAAATAATTAATTTTTTAAAAAAAACACAAATTTTGGGAGGTTCATTGAATAATGCTCATGTCGATTTAATTTGAAAATAAGAAAATTGAATTTAGACAAAAATAAATCATTTAACACGCGTATTAAAAAAGAAGAAATAATGATTTTTAATTAATTAATTAATTTTTATTTTAAAAAAAAACGGAGTTTGTGGTGATAGAACAAAAGCAGGACAAAATAAATATCTGAAAAGGATAAATGGAATCCGAATTTTTGGAATTGTCGGGAAAAAAAATTATAGATATAGGAGAAAAAGGAGATTATTTTTAATTTTAATTTTAATTTTTATATATAAATAATTATTATTTTAAATTTTCCATTTTAATGAGTGGGATTTTTAATTGAATGAAAGGTTTGGAAAATAATTAAATTTGTTTAAGAGAAAAAATTAAAAAGAAAAAAAAAAAAAAAAGGCCCACCAACAAAAGAACTTATGGTCAGAACCAAAAGTGGTCCATTTAATGGCCTGATTTCATAAGCCCACGTGAATTCCAACCATATTCACGTGCTAATGTCCGGAAACTCACGTGCCTCTACTTTTCTGTTATTCTTTTACATCAATCCTCAGTTTTCTCAGTAAAGTCACCGTCAGTTACTTTATCGTCTCCTCACCACTTTTTTTTAATTCCTTAAATTTAATTTTCCTTTTTTTTTTCTTAAACTTATTCTCCCAATTTTAAAATATCCATTTTTATTTAACTTTTTTTTTAATTTTTTTATTAATGTTATATGAGTCCCCAAAATTTATTTATTTAGTAATTTAAGAATAATTATTTTCTAGAAGGTTTATACTCTAAATTTAAATATTTAGAAACTACTTTTTTATTCTCGAGTCTACGTGGCAATCCGTGATTCGTTTAAAAACAGGTCATTACAATTTAAGTTCAAGACGTCATTTATGAAATGATTTAAAGGAATTTTTTTTCAGACGTAGATAACATTAGACCACTTTATTTTTAATAAGAAAATAAATTTGTTATAGTTTAATGGTAAAAAAAAATATGAGAATTGAAAAATTATTCATAATGGCCATCATATTGTGTCCGGCATTTTTCACACATACATATACATATACATACATATATACATATGCTAGCGGTAGACTTGATATTTCTATGTTGACCCAAAAATTGTCTCGTATTGAACCTGTTTCGATTTGTTTTCTTGGTCCAAATTTACTCGTAACGTTAAAACTATGACCCATCAAGCCCATTAGAATGATGTTTTGGCCTTATTGCATTTAGTCCTTAAATAGGCCAAAATGAAGAATTGGGTCTCGACCTAATCCTACCTTCTTTCACGACCTTGTAGAGTCGATCACTATCATTTTTTTCTTGGACCCATCTTGTCCTAGAGTTTCCTCGTTCCTTCCACCCATCTAATTTTTCACAAGGGTAATCGAGCTCATCGAGGATAATGCATCCTTCAGCTTCTAAACAATTTATTAAACCATAATAACTGTCAACGCCTAACGAGTAAGCTATATGCACTCGGTAGCTAAGTTAAGGCCTTGGGAGAAAACCCGAAAAGAAAAGTCTAAAGAGAACAATATCTGCTAGCGGTGGGCTAAGGCCGTTATAAATTGTATCAGAGCAAGGCGTCAGACGATGTACCAGTGAAAAGGCTCTTTCCCGAAGGGGGTAGACATAAGGCGGTGTGCTAGTAAGGACGTTGGGCCTTGAAGGGGGGTGGATTTGGCGGTGGTTCTACATCAATTGGAGAAAGGAACGAGTGCTAAGGGTATGGAAACCTTTCTCTAGTAGTTACGTTTTAAAACCTTGAGGTGAAGTTGAGAAGAGGACAATATGTACTAGCAGTGGGCCCGAACCGTTACATAATTAAAATGAACTAATTAAGAATTTGGAAGTCTTAATTTTTTTTGCATAGCCATTGAAATCATTGTGTTTGTGTTTGGTTGTGTACATGAACCCACGTTTGTCAACCTGGTAAACCGAACCAACTTTTATGGTAGGCCAACACGACTAAACCTACTTCAAAAACGATGAGCGAAGATTATTTAATCACTTATTGAACACAAAATTAAAAGTTCGAGAACTCATTAAAAGATAAATAATAATGGAAAATTATCCATGAAAATTGTTTTAATAGGCCAGTGCTCTCCAAACCGTGTTGGATAGTCACCCATCACATGGCTCTCAAACCCAACCAGTGGTGGATTCTAGGAGACAAAGTCAAAGCGCTTGATCCTTTGCCCCATACTTTGAGATGATCCTCCCCCATCGATCAAGCAGCGAGGCTACTCGTGATAGGCTGAGTTTGAAGCCGCTATCCTTCGGTTCGAATAAGTCATGTCCCTTCAGTCGGTTCGCTCAGGTGGTCTTCCCTAATGTTTAGAGTTGTTCTGGTTTGAGAAAGAAGCACGTATCGGCTGAACGCTATAAAGGAATAAGAAATAGACCAGAGAATCTCTAACTTAGATTGACCGAGAATTTTGGTGAAAAAGAATTTTCTACTTTGACCCCAAATGTTTAAGCAAATCACTTTATTATTAAGGAAACAAAAATTCTATGTGGTTGACTGCAAATATAAACTAATAATGACCTATATTGTAAATATGGAAATTTAGAAAGGTAATTTCTGGTTAATTAATTAATTTATTTAATTATAACATAAAAAATCGATTAAAATGACGACATAATAATCTAAGAATTAAAATTGAATGATGTAAGCAGAAATCTTGAATTATATTTTATAATTAACAATGATTAATTATCACAAAATTAGGAAAAAAAAAAAAAAAAAAAAAAAAACTCGACGATCAACTTCTGAACGAAATTTAGGTACCAACATCTTTACACCTTAATTAAGTTATTCGACTTTGGATTATGGATTTCATTCCCGCACACCGTCAGCAAGTGTAAAACTCGACGAGTTCCTCCGTCGAGCTCAATTGCGCTGCGGAATTCTCCAACATCCACAACAAATGCTCGAACATGACAACCTCACAAGAGATCACCACCGCGCCACCTTCGTCCAGTGACGACTTGTCAACCAACTCTTGAAATAAAGGGTGTGCTATGACATCAAGCCTAACGAAATAGGGTCGTCGGGACTTACCGACGTAGACCGTGTGAAGCTCGCTGGAGATGTTTTCACCCTCCGCACCACTGTCGCTCACCGTGGCAACCGATACTGAGCTAGAGGTCCGACCAAGCTTGGCGATCGAGGGCCATCGTTTCATGGCTGACTTTAGCTTGGTGAGAGTTCCAGGTTTGACCATGGCTCATAAAATTGTAGAGAGAGAGAGAGGTTTAGAGAAGGGTGTGAGGGAAAGGGAAGAGGAAGCTTCGCTATATAAAACAATGACTTTACGTGCATGGCCCACGCATTTTGTTAAATAAATAAAAGGAAAATTGTCTGTAATTTATTTTAAAATATTTAATTTAAAAAACATTCCATTATAATTATATATATATATATGATTACAATTACGACAATATAATCAAAATACGTACAAGATTTCCACTCACCAACTTCATCAATCACAACCAAAGTTCTTTTTTTTTTTAGCAAAAAATATAATTTAAAAATTAATTAAATTATTAATCCGCGTTGTCGTTGAAAATTGAAAGGGAATTAAAAATAAAAAGGAATTATATAATATTTAAGAAAAAGGAATCCTGCAAAATAATAATAATTAAAAAGAATGTTGGAAAAAAAAATTGATTGCCTTTTTTTGTGTTTTATTTTTTTATTTTTAATGTTTTTATTTATTCATTTCTCCAACCAAACATCATTCAAATCCATATCCTTTGTCCTGTCTTGACTCACGGATCTCCCTATTATCAGAAAACCTACAAAAGTCAGAATGGGAAGAGGAAAAGGAAATCCTACGGGTTGAGTTGCTCGTGTGTCCACGAGACAAATCCCATTTGAAATAGATGGTGTGAGTTTGTCAATGCTCAACAAGCCGCTACACTAACTGCACATAAACCATGTTCGTCAACCAAGTTTGTTCAGTGGTCGTAACGTAATTTATTGGTTAGTGGGGATAAACCGAGCCAGTATTCAAAAGAATTGGGTAACACATCAACTTCAGTAAATATGGATCTTTCTCCCAATTATCGGCAACCCGCCCCAAATTTTACAATGCAAGATCAACCGGGTTCAACTTTAATTACCATCTCGAGTTTGAATTCCTAACCCCACAGGTTGGCCGAAACCGAAAGAATGATAACGATATTCATTATTCAAAGTTAGTTCGGTTCAGCATCGACGTTGCTTGCACAACAATCCAACCCTGGAAAGCCCTCACTCACCTCCATAGCTAATCATATAAGGGGCATTCCTTGAATGGTCCAAATGAAGAAGACAATAAAAAGCAGAGAAGTTGAATGGATGTAATGTAAAGAGTAATGTGTGACAAGGTGTTATCCAATATACAAAGTGATGGTTCTGCCACCTATGTTTCATCAAGCACAAACAATGCCGCCCCCTCCTTTGTTTCTTTTTTGAGTTTT